GTTTGGCAAAAGACACAGCCAAGCACAGGGGGAGCAGCAGGGATGGAAAAGGGAAGAAAACAGTTTCTGAGAAAGACACAGAAATCCTTGGAGAGAGTGAGATGTTCCCTGCCCCTCCAGGACAAGGGGAAGCTCAAGAAGCAATGAAAGGGGTCAGGAATGGTCATGATTCCTCAGTAGCATTGAGTCTGGAGGAGAGGATGACTTGGGAAGGCCCCAAGGTGGAAACCACCCATGATGTGTCCAGCACAGCCCCTGTGACAGGTGAACTGCCCAAGGAATTGGTTATCAGAGAGGAACCCAGAGAACTTCAGGAAACCTCTGCAGTCCTTGAGCTTGGAGAAGAGAAACAGCAAGAACAAACAGCCAAGCTCAGTCCAGACCAAGGAGGTGCCACTGTTCCCCCAAAACCCCACGGAGAGACCCCCCAGGAGAGAACCAAGCAAAGTCCTGGCGATCGGAGTTTACTGCTCCCTGTGATCGTGGAGGGAGAACTGCTGGAAACCTCGAGGGAATCCACCAGACCAGCCCAGGTAAATGAATACCCTTTGCTATTGGGACACTTTTGATGAGCTGATTGTGTGTGTTTGATGCTGAACCTGTCCTTGGCCCTCTGCACAGAGGACAACCAGAGCAGGAGGAGTGGATGCTGCAGTATGGGCTGCCCTGGATTTGGCAAAGGGCCCAGTGATGTGTGGCTGAAAACACTCAGGGCTGAGTTGTGGCTCCTTTTGCTGGAGCATTGCTTCAAAATGACTAACAAGTAGGGCTCTTTTTTTTTTTTTTGGCACTTTTGCTGTAACACCAGAGATCTCTTGCCATTTATAAGCTTATGTTGGAAAGAGAACCATGTGTTTTATTTTTCCTGTAGTAAATCTTGTAGATAAGGCCAAGGGGGTGGAAAGTCCACGAGCTGGAATGTTATTAACAGATTTCTATGAAAAAAAAAAGATGATATATAACCCTTTGTTTGCTTTTCTGCCCAAATCTGAGGTTTTGTTTTCCCATTTGATTCGGTAGATCAAGTTCAGCAAGAAGATGTGTCTGGAGCACGACGAGAAGTTGATATCTTATCTCTCCATGCTCCGAGACATCGAGATGAAAATCAAACAAGTGCAGCCAGCAGAGCAGAATTTGGCAGCTCTGCACAACCTCCTGCAGCAAGCAGAGGTGAGTGAGGCTGGGCTGGTGTTAGGCAGGGCAGAGCTCATCCCACCTCTCCCCAGCTTCATGCACAGCCCTTCCACCCCTTCCTGCTTTGGGAGCCAGCCAGGGAGGTTAGTCTTTTAACTTAAACAGGCATTTAAATGCAAACCCCATCCCTCCTTCTTCTGATGCCACCCACCCCCTCCTCCCTGCCTAGACAATAGCCTAAGCGTGGCTGGAATGAATTTTTACAGCCTGGAGAAAGACAGACAAGTGCTGGCAGGGCTGGAGGATGGTGATGCATCTTTCTAGACGCAGCGTTTGGAGCTGTGTCTCCAAACCCTTTGCTCAGTTTTGGCAGCAGGAAGATGAAGTCATCCTATCGCAGACATAACTCTGCTGTCTTGCCTCAGGCCTTGGGTGCTGAGCTGAGGGAGCTGAGCTTCCCAGTGAATCAGGAGTTGGATGCTGTGAAGTGGATTGTGGCCAACCCCCCTGAAGAAGTCCCTGAGCAATTACTGAAGGCTTTGGAAAAGGATTCCAAGAACCTTCAGAAGTCACTGAGTGCTGCAAATGATATCCTGGAGTCCAGGCTGCAAAACCTTCGTGGGGCAGCAGAAGCTGAAAAGGTAGAGCTGACAACTGTCCCCACCACCTGATTTCCCCCCAGCATCCCAGAACTCTTTCTGTAAGTGATGCCTTTCTGTTTTTAAGGCTAAAATCTTGGCACAGCACGAGACTCTTCAGGGCAAACTCCAGGAGCTGCTGAGCTGGGTGTCTGGCACTGCAGAGTCACTGGATGACAGTGATTACCACCACGATGTGAACAGCTTGAGTCGCTGCCTGCAGCACTACAAGGTAACCATGGCAATGCCCCTAATCCTTTGGGCTGATGAAGTTCCTGACCTCTGCATGGAGGAGAAGCTTTTAATCCTCCTTCCCTCCTGGAACCTACCAAGGGTTTTCCCTTATCCTGTGCTGCAGAAGGCACAACCATATTGTATTTGCTCTAAAGTCACTTGTTTCCACAATACACAACTGATCTGCTGTGGGGAACATGCTCCAGTGTAGGTGTGTGCTGGGGGCTGAGAAGGCAGGAGGGATTCCTGCCAGGCTGTTGAGGACAGAGCTGCTTCCTCTGAGGGGGCTCTGAGAGTCCTCTCCATCACACCTGTCCTGGTCTCCATCGCCTGTATGAGCAGCTCAGTCTCCCCTCCACATTTATCCATCCTCTAGTGTTAGCTTGAAAGATCATTTCCCAGTTCAGCATCTCCTGTTTGCTGGTAGCACCTTGACATTGAAGTCAGGGTAGCAAAGGCATGGAGAACTTGTGGTGACACATGGAATCATAGAATTTTAGGGGTTGGAATGGAGCTCACAGATGTCCCTGGGCAGGGACACTTCCCACCAGAGCAGGTTGCTCGAGGCTCATCCAACCTGGCTTTGAACACTGCCAGGGTTGGGGCAGCCACAGCCTCCCTGGGCAACCTGTGCCAGTGTCTCACCACCCTCACAGGGAAAAACTTTCTTCTAATATCTAACTTAAACTTCTCTCCTTCAATTTGAATCCATTACCCCTTGGTCTATCACTGCAATTCCTAACACAGGGTCCCTCTCCAGCTCCTTGTAGGCCCCTCCAGATATTGAAAAGTTGCTCTGAGGTCTCCACACAACCTTCTCCAGGCTGAATCATCATAGCTTGGACAGTGCTAGTGGCAGCTCCAGGTCTGGGTCATCCTCAGACCCAAGGGCAGCCCTGCATGGTCCATCAGCCTCTTGGTGAGGTGCCTCCAGCACCTGGTGCAGGGGAACATTGGGAAATTGCTGCAGTGAGATGCTCTCCCCACCATGTTGAGTGTATTTTGGGAGCATTGATTGATTCTGGAACATATTTCTTGTGTCAAAGCACTTTTTTTGGCTGCTGCCTGTCCACACATGCCACCTGAAGATGGGAAGCAGTGCAGGACAGCACTGGCTGCAGGGTCATTTTACCTGACAGGTCTTTTCTCTCCTGTTCAGGAACTGAAAGAGCCTCTTGCTGACACCAAATCTCAGCTGGATGCCACTGCCTTCGACATCCAGTTCCTTATCTCAGAGCATGCTCAGGACTTAACCCCCCAGCAGAGCAGGCAACTGCTGAGGCTGCTCAACGAGCTGCAGAAAGCATTCCGGGACCTGTCGGAGCGTGTGACGGCTCGGCTGGAGGTCCTGCAGCTCTGTCTCCAGCAAGTGGAGCAGACAGATCAGGTGAAGGTGGTGAGACATCTCCTCCCTGCCTGCCCTGTGCTCGCTGAAGTGCTTCCCAGCCACAAGGACACCTCGTTGTTTTGGGATTTTATGTGCATGCCACTCAGTTTAGAACTTCTCATTGCACACCATGAGCTTCCTCTAAAAGTCTTTCTTCTTCCTACTGTGTCACTTCCAAGTGGAAAGTTATTTTCCTCCCAAGCATGGAGCCTTGGTTAGGCCTTGGTAGCACAGCCAGGCAGTCCTCTGCTAGGGATGCTTTGGGCTGGGTGGAATAAACCCCTGTAATGCCACCAGAAATCTCTGTGCCAGGGACACAGAGACACCTGGCAGGTTTAATGTCTTATTTCCCCTGCACACATCAGGTATTGCTGTCTCAGGAAACAGCTGACAATGTATCAAGGACAAACCTAAGTCTATGCCCTCAGTAGGGCAAGAGGGCATAGACTCAAGCTCTGCCAGGGGAGGTTTAGGTTGGGTATTAGGAAGAGATTCTTTACAGAGAGAGTAAATGTGCTGCCCAGGGAGGTGGTGAATTCACCATCCCTGGAGGTTTTCAAGCTGAGACTGGATGTGGCACTTAGTGCCATGGTTTAGTAACCACAGTAGGGTTGGACTTGATGATCTTGGAGGTCTCTTCCAACCAGGTTGATTCTATGATTTTATGATTCTATGAAAAGCAAGTCCTCAGGTCTCTGCTGCAGTGCACCCATCACTGCATGGATCCTCTTGTTCCAAACAGGATTAATGTATTTTTGATTAACAGTTGCTCTCTGTAACTCTTGCCTGTCCTCTCTGGAGTGTGTGTGTGTGTGTATATTAACCAGTTTGCTTTGCTTTTTCAGATTGAGTGTGCGCCCATCCTAACCCAGGAAGAACTCGCTTTGCAGCTGAAGAGCTCTTAAGAAGGCTCTTCCAATTTGCTTCTGTTGTGTTTTATCTTGTGACTGGGAGAAACAAGCACAAGTGTTTTGCACAAGTTTGTACATCACCTTGCTGAAATGCCCAGTGAAACTCAGACACCTTTTCTCTCCCCTGGGAAAGGGGAACAGGGATGTTGTAGGGACTCTCAGGTCACATCATGCTCAATTGCTCAAACTGGCGCTTCTGTGTTGTGCTCTGGCAGCAAAAGGAAGAGCTGGATCAGCTCCAGAAATGCTTTCCCTCTCCAGGGCTCCCTCTCCAACCCTAGGATCATAAAAAACAGCCTTTTTGGGTTGTCTGGGGCTCCACAGTGGTGCTGCCTGACTCAGCTTGTCATTACCTCTCACTAGAGTTTCTGCTGCTCTTTTAATGTTTGCAAGGTGGAATGGAAAAGGCAGAGAAACTTGTGGCTGAGCTTTCCTGAGAGAGGAGTGCAGCTCCACATTGGAGCTCAGTGGGTTTCTCCTAGAGAAACCTGCTGGAATGGTGACTCCTTCTTACCTTGGCACCCCATTCCCACAACTGGAGAGGGAGCACCTGGAGAGGTGAAGGCTGTTTTCTGTGCTGCATCCTCACCATCAGGAGATGCTGCAGCTGTAACCTCTCACCTTGCCTTTCAGCAGTGTGAGCTGAGGTGCAGCACTGGTTCTGACTGTCCCTTTTGCCTTTTCCTCTGCCCTCAGACACTGCAGGAGCAGCAGGCAGCTCGGGCACAGAGCCTGGCTGAGCTGAGCCGCTGGCTGGGCCAGGCAGAGGACACACTGGCAGAGCAGCAGAGAGCAGAAGGAGACCTGTCTGCTTTGCAGCAGAGGCAAAGTGATGTCAAGGTCAGTGCTTAAAAAAATATGGGGGGCCACAATGGAGAGGCTCAGTGCTACCTTGGGAACACACTGAGCCTCATGGCATCATCCTCCCAGGAGCTGCAGAGGAACATGCACACTCGAGCTGCCTCCTTCGCCAGCGTCCTGAAGAGCACTGAGGAGTTTCTGGAGGAGAACAAGGCCAAGATGGAGCCTGGGGAGCTGGCAGCTCTGCAGGAGAAACTCCAGCGTGCCAAGGAGCAGTACCAGTCCCTGCAGGAGAGGACAGAGGTAGCCCAGAAGGAGCTGGAGAGTGCTGTGAGTGCTGCAGTGCAGCAGGAGACTGAGAAGGTAATGTGCAAAGAGCTTTAGGATCCAGGCTCTGCTTGAGCAGGACAGGGAGGTCCATTTGGTGCAACTGCAGTTATCCTGGGTCCTGACAGTCATCTGGGTGATGCAACATAAGGCATAAAGCAGTTCCTTGCTGGGTGTCCCCCACATGAGGTGTCACCCAGGCATTTCTCTCTTGAAATGCCTGGAGAGTTGCAGCCATGGATGAGCTGGTTGGGAGGAAATGGAGGAGGAAAAGGCCCTTTGCTCTGCCTTTGGGGTGACCTTTAACACGAGTAGGAGCATCAGTCACCTCCCTGTGCTGGTGGGGAAGGTGATGCTCACACCTCTGTGTGTGGAGGTTCAGCCCTTCATGATGAGGACCCTGGGCTGTATCAGGGTGAGAAATGCAAGGCAGCAGAGAGGCTGAGTTCATTCACAGCTTCTTTGCACCTTCCAGAGAGACACAAAGGGGTTTGGAGGTCTGTGAGTGTCTCAGGCATTTGCTGAGGCTGGAAAACTCCTTGTTTTTTTCCTTCTGCTGATTTGTGTCTCCCTCCCCCGTGCAGCAGTTTGCTGAACAGGCATAAACCATCTCGTTCTGATCTGGAGCCTTTGTGCTTTCAGGTGAAAGCTGCCAAAGAGCTGGAGGAGAACAGCAATAAGATCGATTCCCTTCTAAACTGGATGGCATTGCTGGAGCAGAAGGGAGAGCTCCCAGAGTACAGACCTCACCTCACCATGCAAGGGACAGGGACACGAGCAGGGACAGGCACTCAGGACATCCCTGACAGCCACACTGTGGGAGCAGACAGTGCTGCTGAGAGCCTGGATGAGCAGTATGAGAGGCTGAAGGTGAGGACCAACACCTCGTCCCTCTCAAAGCTTTCTGCCCCATGTACTGACCTTGCTCTGCTGCTGCTGCAGCTTGGAGCAGGAGGGGGTGTTTAGATGGAATGGCCTCTGTTCAGGGTGATTTTCAGTATGAGAGACTTGGGAAGTTGCTTCCTGGAGGAGATGCAGTCTGTGTGGTGGGTGGATGCCATGTCAGGGTCCTGAGAGAAAGAGAAGGAGTCACTGTGCTGTGGGCAGAGCTCCTGTATCCCAGCCTGGAGATGTTCCCCACCTGTCATTGAATCACAGAATGGTTTGGGTGGGAAGGCACCTTAAATCCCATCTCCTTCCACTCCCCATGAGCAGAAACACTTTCCACCAGCCCAGGTCACTCCAAGCCCCATCCAACATGAACAGTTCAGGGATGGAGAATCCACAACTAGGAGGGTGCAGGGGCTCATGGGGAGCAGAGACCCTCAGTCACAAGCATCACCTTTGCTCACCGAATCTTTCAGGCCCAGCACCAGGAGCTGCTGTCCCAGCAGCAGGATGTCATCCTGGCCACACAGTCAGCACAAGCTTTCCTGGACAAGCATGGCCAGAGCCTGGCTGGGGAGGAGCGGGAGCGGCTGCAGGCGCAGCTGGCAGAGCTGAAGGAGCAGTACTCAGCATCCCTCTCACGGTCAGAAATGCAGCTGAAGCAGGTGCAGCTCCTTCGGGATGAGCTGCAGAAGTTCCTGAGGGATCATGGGGAGTTTGAGGCTTGGCTGCAGCAGGCAGAGCAGGACCTGGAGGGGATGTACAAGGGGGACAGTGACCCTGCAGCTCTGCGGCAGCTGCTGGTGCAGCAGGGGAACTTCTCCGAGGACGTCATCTCCCACAAAGGAGACCTGCGCTTCGTGACCATGTCTGGGCAGAAGGTTCTGGATGTGGAAGGAGCTGCTGGAGATGCAGAATCCCAACTGCTGATGTCCAGGAATGTGGTCAAGAGCAAGCTGGAGGATGCGACGCAACGATACACCGCGCTGCACTCCAAGGTATGGGGAGGGCTCTGCAGGGCTGGGAGTTGAACGCTGGGTGCTCTTTTCCTCTTGTGCAGGATTGGCAGAGGGATATTTCTCTTGAGTGCCTGGCTGGGACTTGCAGCACATGTGCAGACTGTAGGGCAAGGGTTGTCTTCTTCAAGGCTTGGGCAAGGCAACACTCTTGTCTTGGTGTTGGTGTTGCCTCCTCCTGTAATTCCTTTAACATGTGGCAAGATTGATTTTTTTTTTTAAACTGGGTTTTCTTTCTTGCTGATTTCTATGCCTTTCCCATGGGTTACTCTGTGCTCATGTGCATCCTCCTGTCATGTCTTGTTGTTCCTTTGCAGTGCTCCAAGCTTGGCTCCCACCTGAACACCTTACTGGATCACTACCAGCAGTTCCAGGAGGTGGCAGAGTCTCTCAGGACGTGGCTACAGCAGAGTGAAGATGCTGTTGGGAAGCTGCTCTCAGAGCCAGTTTCTTCAGATCCTGCTGTACTGCAGAAGCAACTCGCCAGCACAAAGGTACAGGGACCTTGGGTGACCTCCTGGGAAGTGCTGGAGCCTGGATGGGAATTTAGCTGCTATGAGCTGTCAGCAGCAGGAAAGAGACTCAGCCCATTGGGGTTTTTTGCTGGTTGAGTGCAAAGATACACCTACAGGCACAGCATGTCCTGGTGCTGCAGATCAGGTGGGATCAGACTCTTGGGAGAGGGGCTCAGGGCAAGGACCAGGGGTGCAGGTCACAGACATTGAGATGCAGGACATTGAGTCCTCCCTGATGAGGGTGGCTGGGCACTGGGACAGCCCAAACTCTGATCCAGCTCTGCTTAAAGAATGGGATTGGACTTTCCAACATACAGTCTTATTTTTCTCAGTGCAGAGGATCTCTCAGAGGGTTTCAATGGAGCCCTGAGCTCCCCAGGAGTGTGGGTCTCCTGTTTGTGACCCCTCACTGATTTTTGGCTTGTCTTGTGTGAAAACAGCAACTGCAGGGAGACCTGGCTGAGCACCAGGTGCCAGTGGAGAAGCTGCAGAAAGCAGCTCGGTCCCTGCTGGAGGTGCAAGGGGAACCAGCCCCAGACCACAGGCACATTCAGGAAACAACAGGTATGAAGCAAGGAATGGCTGGGGACATGGTTGGAGAGGTGCTTTTGGTGGAGCCAAAGGTGACCCTCACTGCTCTCTGAGCACTTTGAGCTCTTTGCCACTCATTCTTTGCACTGAACTCTGCAGATGCCATTGTGAGCCGCTTCCAGAGCCTCTCCCAGCAGATGTCTGATCGCTCAGATCTGCTGCAGAAATCCATTGCCCAGTCCCAGAGTGTCCAGGAGAGCCTGGAGAGCCTCCTCCAGTCAGTGGCTGAGATTGAGAAGAACCTGGAGAGAGACCAGCCAGCCACACTCTCCTCCACCTCCATCCAGGACTCGCTTGCCACGAGTGTGGTAAGGCTGTGCCCAGTTCCTCACCCCAAACACACTTGTGCAGCACCTGCACCATTCGGGGGGTTGCTGGGGTGGTCTGAAACCACCAAAAAAAAACCCCTAAAAAGGGATATGAACAGAACCTTTGCTTGATTTTATAGAATCACAGAATGGTTTGGAAAGACTATGACATTCCAACCTCACTGCCATGGGCAGGGACACCTTCCACTAGCTCAGGTTGCTCCAAGCCCCATCCAACCTGGCCTGGAACATTTCCAGGGATGGAGCAGCCACAGCTTCTCTGGACAACCTGTGCCAGTGGCTCAGGACAGACCTGTTGGAAGTCTCTTTTATTCTTTGCTAACAAGTAGGCCTTGGATATCATGCACCAGGGAAAGGCAAAGCACTTTGGGGAAGTCAGAAAGGAAAAGAAAGCTGGGATAGAAAGCTCTTCTTTCCCAACCCTGGTTATCCCAAACCACACACTGCTGCTCCCAGGGGCAGCTCAGCTGCTTCATGCCAGTTCAGTTTTCCTCAAGAACCTTCCTAAATCATCCTTTTTTTCCATGTATGCTCACTACAGAAGCTGAAGCAGGACATTGCCCGACAGAAGAGCTGCCTGGAAGCCACTCGTGAGATGGTGACGCGGTTCATGGAGGCAGCAGACAGCCCCACGGCCTCTGCCCTGCAGGACAAGCTGGCCCAGGTGACAGAGCACTTCGACAGGCTGTGCCAGCAGCAGAGGGAGCGGGAGGACACGCTCAAGGGTCTCCTCCCAAAGGTGGAGCAGTATGAGCAGCTCTCAGAGAAGCTGCAGCAGTTCACGGAGAGCAGAACGCGGATGTTGGCATCCGGGAATCAGCCCGACAGGGACATCGCTCACTTCTCCCAGCACATCCAGGTGAGGCACAGGGGAAGGAGGCTCTGCCTGTGTTGGATCCAGGCTGGCAGGATCCACAGGACTTGTGCTGTCCTCTGCCTGCAGAAGGGAGTGTGGCTGGAGCGGCTGAGGTTGCTCCCAGCAGTGAGAGCTGGGAATAATGGCACTTCCCAGGAGCCAGACTGGCTTTCAGATGGGATCTCCAGCCAGGCCTTTAGGGGCCAGTCCAAATACAGCAAATATATGGTTTGACCAGTTAAACACTCCACATGGCTAAGAAAGCAAAATGTGCTGGCAGTGAGTGTAGTGTGGGATGTGACAGAGACCTTGGAGATCAGAGAGCCATAGTATTATGGAATGGCTTATGTTGGAAGAGACTTTTAAGATCATCTTGATTCCAAGCCACCTGTCATGGGCAGGGACACCTTCCACTACTCTAGGTTGCTCAGGGCCTGCCCTTGAACATTCCCAGGGATGCTGTGGGTTGTGGTACCAGGTCATGGCTGTGCAGAATTCCTCCCTCTGGCTTCCTATGACTGCTCTGCTATGTGGGATGGTTCATCCACAGCCTCAGAAATGCCCTCAGCTGGCATAAAACCAGACAGTTGTGCCATGGGAAGGGTTGATTTGGCTTGGTCTGTCCCAGTCCTATCCCAGTCACTGTGTGGCCATACATCAGCACCAGGGAAGGGTGGATTTGCTCCTGCAGTTGCTGGAAGTATCTGCTGAGGTGGAGGAGCAGGTGAGAGTGAGCTGTGCCCAGCATTTGGCATGTGCCTTCCATGCTGCTGCCCACAGAAGGTCTCTCCAGCTCACCAGGACATGAGACTGTCCAGTTCATCCCCCCTGCCTGAGTCTGCTGGTGGGGAACATGGTCAGCATCACCTTTTGCTCTTGGCAGGAGCTGAATTCAGAGATGAGGCAGCACCAGGAGGACCTGGCCACCCTGGAGCACCTGGCTGCAGAGCTGAGCTCCTGTGGCTTTGCCCCTGGTGCCTTCCAGCAGCAGGAAAAGCTGCAGAGCCTGAAGAAAGACTTCCTGCAGCTGCAAAAGGTGGCAAAAGAGAGGTGAGTCGCGGGGTACCCAGCCACTCGCTGGGGAGGTAAGTTTGGGGGTGGCTTTGTGCTCTGAGCAAGACCCTGTGGAGATCTCCTTTCCAAGGAGGAGCAGGAGCCAACGCTTCCTGTCGCCCTCCTCCCACGCCAGGAGCCTGAGGCAGCTCTCTCCAGCTGACTGCTTTAAAAAAAGCCTTGGCTGGGGGCGTTGTGAAAAATTCCTGGTGCTGCAGGAGCCGGAGTTCTGCATTTCCCTGTGTGTGGGCTGCCACAGCTCCATCCCAGAGCATCTTGCTGGAGGGGAGCAGGGTGCTGGCAGAGGATTGGGAGCCTTCCCTAGGCAAGCTCTTTGGGAGGAGACAGAGTGACCTGTCCCAGAGTCTCCTGAAGTGGGGATAAAGGAGAGCTTGAGCTCAGATTGCCCGTGGCAGCTTGAGCAGGTTCAGAGGGACAGCATCCCTCTGTGACAGGGTCACACCTCCCCAGCTGTATCTCCAAACTCCCTGGGGAATACAGGCAAGGTGATGGGGAAAAGCAGATGAAACTCACAGTAATCCCCAGTAATTCAGCACTCTGCAGGCTGCTCGCAGCTGCAGGCAGTGAGGATGAGCCAGAGGGGCCTGTGGCTCACATCCAGGGGCTGCCTTGTTCCTCCAGGATGGGCTGAATCGATGGAGCTGTGGCCAGGGAGGAGGGACAGCACAGCCTGAGCTCCCCTGGGATGCAGCTGCCTCGGGGGACATGGCATGAATGAGCCCTCTTTTCCCAAAAGCTTTGCTTTTCCCAGGACAAAGAGCCCAGTGCAGGTTGACAGTTTTGGTCCCAAGGCTGTTGGCTACCACTGTGCTGCCCAGAAGTGCCACCAGCCACGATTTGGGGGGTCAGCAGCAGTGAGGGGCTGGCAGTGTGTGCACCCCATTTTGTCTCTCACTGCCTGAGCTGTTCCCAAGCAACATCTAATAATAATCATGAGGAAAAAAAAAAAAGACTCCTCAAGACACAACTGTGGTACATTCAGGCAGGGGTAATTGCAAGGCAAAGCACGAGCTCTGACTCTCTGAAACCTTTTCACTCTCAGAGAAAAGGATGCATCGTCCTGCCAGGAGCAACTGGATGAATTTCGGAATCTGGTTGGCGCCGTGAGGAAGTGGCTGAGGGAGAGTGAAGGCAAGATGCCATCTGCTGAGACCTCCCTGGGCACCCAGGAGCTGCAGCAGCGCAGGCAGCAGGTCCAGGTGGGCAGAGGGAGATACAATCAGACTGGGAAATGGAATATGGAATAAACCTCAGGAAGCAGAGTCCCAGGAGGTGGTTTATGGTCTCTGGAATCCTCACTGTGCATCCAGAGAAGGGAGCAGTGTGCTGGTTCTCTTGGGCTCTGCCTGCTTTCCCCTCCCTCCCTCTCTCTGCCTGCTCTGGGCGGGATTTGGGAGTGGGAGATCCAAGCACACTCATTCCTAGGAGTGTTTCCCTGTGGCAGACATGGAGTGCCCTCCTGTCACCCGAGCCCCCGCTCCCCTCCAGCACAGTGATGCTGTACCCGAGGTGTGCCAAGGGTTTGACTCAGAGACAGAGCAGCTCTGCTGAGTCACCCCCAGCCCTCGCACCCCAGAGCACCCACCACGCTCCAGCAGTGTGGGACTGGGCTCAGCCAGGCTGGGCTGTGCAGGGAGCAGGAGGGACGTCCCCAAAGTGGTGGGAGGGAGAAGGTTTCCTTCAACAGACCCATTAGTTAGGGAAGAGCTTTTCACTCTTTGGTTCCCACGACTGAAATAGATGTTTCACACCCACTTTCCCAGTGTAGACTGTTTGCCATGTGCTGGTTCTGTGGGTGCTGTGTCCTGGTGGCACTGCACAGGTGACAGGTAAGGAAGGAAGAGCTGTGGCTGGGTAAACTCTCCAATCCCAACTTTTGCTTTTGAGCAGGATCTCCTGGAAGAGTGGAAGGGGAAGGGGGCCCAGGTGGAGGAGATTGGCCGCAGAGGGACCCTCCTGGAGAACCTGATCGTGGAGATTACAGCCCCCAACACCTCACCCAAGTCAGGTGAGTCGCAGCCCACTCTCCTGAGGATTCCTCAGCCTCTGCTGTCAGCACTGCATCTTCTCTGAACCTGCCTCAAAGCAAAAAATGGGGTTATTTTCCCCTTTGAGCCAAATTCAAAGGGCCTGTGGTGGTCTGAGGATTGGGCTCGGCCCAGTGGTTGAGTCACTAGTGTTAACACATCAGTCGAGCGCTCAGAGTCCACAAACTTGGCCTCATTAGTTGTAGCCTAACGAGCACTGAATTACCCTGTGTTTGTCATGAACCCAGTGTGGGGACATGTATCACTGCTCAGATGGAGCATGGGAGCTCCAGGCTGCTGCAGCATGGAGATCTGGGCTCTCAGCCCTGTAGGATGCTCGTGGAGGCAGCTCCTGCTTTCTCCTGGTGATGTGCTGCAGCCTCCTGGGGGCTGGAATGTTTTAATCAAGCTCCAGTATTTGGGTTTCGTATCTGGATGACATTTAAGGCTGTGATATTCAGATGTGATTTAGTGGTTTCTCCTTTTTGGCTTCAAGTCTGTGAAGCGATGAGATTACGTCTGGTTCATTTGGAAACCAACTCAAAGATGTCTTCCAGCTTGTGAGAACAAGTCCCTGGGCTCTCATTGTTGGTGGGCATTTATGGGAATTCAGAGTCTGGATATGTTTGTTAGGATTAAGGTCATGAGGAGTTCTTTGGGAAGCCTCCAAGAGGAGTGAGGAGAGGCCTGTTGTAGGTGACTCCCATGGTCACCCACGTAGGGTGACTAAAGCTGCAGCCTCTTATATCCATAAAAACTTTAAAATATGTGATTAGAAAGAGAGAGACTTACATGACAATGTGAATCTCCCTTTGGTCATGACCATAGCTGTGATACCTGGTGTCCAGGGAGGGGACACTGTTGCATCCTACATGGAGCCTCTGAGCAAAGAGCATTTCTGTACTCCAAGGCAGGTTTGAATGGTTTCATCCCATAAGAAAAAGAGGATATGGAAGAGTTAAGTCCTTCAGGGAAGGCATTCAGAAGTCTCATGGGATATAATTCACAAAATCATGCTCAGGGTAGCACCTTGGTGGCCAGTGGTCCCTTGTAATACAGTCCTTACAGGAGTCATGTCCATCCTAGTCTCTGGGGAGTGCTGGGACAGTTTCCCAGCTCCCAACAGCTTCGACTCCTCTTGCTTCTGGTCCAGGGAGGCAGGAGCAGTTCCAGAACAGTGAGGAGCATGGGTATGTTGGGAGGAGGAGAGGTAAAATGACTCTGTCTTCACCATCCCTAGAGGTTTTCAAGCTGAGACTGAATGTGGCACTTAGTGCCATGGTCTAGTAACCACAGTAGGGTTGGACTGGATGATCTTGGAGATCTCTTCCAACCCAGTTAATTCTAGAATTCCAAATTGAAGGAAGTTGTGGCTGCCCCATCCCTGGAAGCGTTCAAGGCTAACTTGGATGGAGCTTGGAGCAACCTGGTCTAGTGGAAGGTGTCCATGGCAGGAGGATTGGAACAAAGTGATGTTTAAGCTCCTTTCCAACCCAATTCTAGCACCGATCCCTCGGTGGGTTGATGAGCACTGGGTGGGTGGAGACGCCGCGTCTGTGCTTGGTGGCCAGTGTGGTCCATGTCGTGGAAGGGCTGTCACAGCTTGCTGTCTGCATTCCTAACACGTCTGTCTTGTCCCTCTGTCTGTCTCCATCCCCTCTGCTCAGGTGCTGCGCTGCCCACGCCGGGAGGGTCAGTTGGCAGCGTGAACGGATACCACACGTGCAAAGGTGAGCGCGCCGTCCCCGCCGTGCCAAGCTGTCTCCCTGTCTGGTTTTGTCTGTGCATTTCCATCCATGAGAGCATAAAGCTCAATGTGACTCCATCAGCATCCTGGTGCAAGGGAAACGAGCTTGGCAATGGGTTGGGAATCCTCAGCAGTGCTGGAGGTCAGGCTGAAGGACAGGGAAGGGGCAGCTTTGGGAAGCGCCAGCACCTTGCCACCCTGTCGGGTGGTGTTAAGAGCTGATAAATGGGAGCTCATTTTGAAGGCCTGCAATTAAATTTATTGGTTCTGTGGGATTAGAATGGCATCCAACCCTCCAGCTTGAAGAGCAGTTTTAATTAGTGCCCGTTGTCTGCTGTTAGTTCACCAGTTCAACGAGGTAATAGGCGCGTCAAAATGGTTTTCTCTTTCGGCGTCAAGTGATTTAACCTTGCATTAGCAGAGGCATTCTGAGCAGGGGGCTCAGCTTGCATCAGGCTCACACACACAGAGGCATTTGCTTTGTTTGCAAACTGTCAACGTGCATAGGTGGTGCGAGGGGAGAATCCCCTGTGGCCTGAGAGCTGAGGATGCCGCGACGTCGCTCTGCGCACAGACGGACGAGCGTGGCCTCTTGCTCCTCACGCTTGGCTGGCTGTGCCTGCCCAGGGCTAGACTAGTGCCTGATAGTCCAGGTGAGGATGGAGGACGTGGGCAGTGGTTCTCATCTCAGGCTGTTTTTTTGGAAACAGATCTGACGGAGATCCAGTGCGACGTGTCGGATGTGAGCCGGCAGTACCAGGCCCTCGGCGCGGCGCTGCGCGAGCGCCAGCAGCAGCTCTCGGCGATGCTGGAGAAGATGCAGGAAGTTCAGGAGGAGGCCAACTCCATGCTGAAGTGGCTGGAGTCAAAGGAACGGACACTATCAGAGCTGGATGCCTCCTCCTCACCCACCAAGACAGAGACAATGAGAGCCCAAGCTGAGCACAACAAGGTAACTTCTCTTCCTGAGTGAAAAAATGGGATCGTAGAATCACAGAATGGGTTGGGTTGAAAAGGATCTTAAAGATCATCTAGTTCCAACCCCCTGCCATGCATATCCCAAACGATCTTTGAGATGTGCTTTATTGCAGCAGGACTAGAAAAGTCAGTCATGAGTGTCTGCCCTGGGTTAAGGAAGGGCATTCCCACATCAGGGATCCCAGGCAGGTCCGTGGAGGAAGAGTCCAAAGCTCTTCTTTGCTTTTAGACCTTTTGCTTTCTGGCATTTGGCTCAAGGAGAAGGAGCTTATCTGGAGCCCTTTTTGCTGGGTCATTCCAACTTCTCCTGGAAAGCAGTTCCCAGCCTGTCCCTGCTCCTGGAGCCAAGTTAGCTCACAATATTGCTAACAAACTGATATAATTAGAGAGCAAAGAATAGGAATTGTCCAACTCCAGCTTGTAGCTGCTGCTTTTTTCCTACTTGGTGATTTCATTTTTCGCCCTCTATCTGAGAAAGTCCAAATCATTATTTTCCAGGCATTTCTGGCTGAATTGGAACAGAATTCTGGGAAGATCCAGAAGGTAAAGGAAGCACTTTCTGGCTTGCTGGAGAAATATCCAGATTCCCCAGAAGCAGCGAACTGGAAGAAGATGCAGGAAGACCTAAGTAAGTGCCTGAAGCACTCAGTGAGGCTTCTGTCTGGAAACATCATGTTAGAAGCAGCTCAGGAGCGTGGGGCGATCCCAAAGTCACGGCAGAGCAGAGTCAGTTCTCATTAAAATTCAGTAAATAGCAAACTTCTCTCCGAGCTGTCTGGTGTACAAGGTGTTCCTGAGACAAGCACTGTCGTGATTAATGGAAATCTCTGTGATGGATGTGGATTTTAAGGATGTGCATCTTTCAAAAAAAAAAAAAAATAGGGGGGGGAAGTGTTAGCAACATGGGCTGATTATTTTGATTAAAAGCTTCACTGCTTGATAGAAAACTCTAGTCATTAGTGAGGCTGTCCTAGGTAATTAAATGTTGACTAAACAAGAGTCTGTGTTTAAAAAGAAGCCCAGAGGTTCTC